ACAGACGTCGCTCGCACCGGGACTGATGACCGCCACGATGCAACACTCTCCACTGCAGGTCAGCCACTCTCTTCGTCAGAGGAGGTTTGTACAGACTCCTCCACGCAGGTCGGACACCGACCGCCAAACCCAGACGTCCACGCCACGGTGTGTTGACTCGACTGTGGAGTTTTCCCTTGTTCAAACACACCACCATCAGTTTATAAAAGGCGTTCCCTTTTGCCTCCTCCAAGTTTAAAATGCAGCATGGTACATCTAAAAAAATCCCATCATTGTTCTCCAGATTGGGACTGACACATAATCCAAGAAAGGAATCGTCCGATTGAGGTTTAATCAGTCCGACCGTATACTCCTCCAACCTGACGGATTCATGTCCTGACAGTTTGTGTGTCCAGTGCTCCAGCAGTCTAGCGATGGTTCTGACCAACCTCACACCCGGAGCAGCTGCCAAAGCAGTAGCATCCTTCAGCCTTGGTCCAGTGGTATCCACCATATCACCCAGCGTGAGCACTCGTGCCCGGCAGAACCGCTCCGTCACGGCCAACCCGATGATCCATACGTTCCCCGTGCACCACTGGCTCCTCCAGCAGCCAGTGTAAGGAGTCACCGAGCACCCGTCTCTCCTTGATCAACAGCTTCCACACTGTGAACACTCCACGATAAAAAGGAGGCAACGACTGGAAACTCTGCTTCCTTACATCCATCAGGAACAGTTTTAATCCACAGCGATGGAAGTTCTGCAGGACCCAACGCGCCAGAGAGCCAAAGACCAAGTCTTTTGGGCCAAATAGCAGTCTCTGGATGAACTGCAGCTGGAAAGCAGCGTCCCTGCTGGCCAAGTGAACAACTCCTTGTCCTCCCTGGTCTTTGGGAAGAAACAAAACAGACTGGGGAATCCAGTGCAACTTATCCCAAAAACAAATTAACCAAAACAGATCCACACAAGACAGTTTCTGCCACAGAGATGAGGACACCAGATTATTAATAAGTGTCCTCCCTCTATAGGACATGCTCGGTAAGAGCCACTTCCACTTCTTTAATTGCCCTTCAACCTTTTCCAGCATGTTATCCCAGTTCTTCGACATCACCCACTCCTCACCCAGAAACACACCCAAATAATTTAACCCTACTGTCTTCCAGGCTAGCCCTCCTGGCAGAACCAGGTTATACTGCAACACATTTCCCACCACCACAGCTTCACTTTTCCCCCAGTTAACTAGCAGGAAGATATGCGATGCAAAATACCCACACTGTCTACCAAAACATCGATATCCCTTTGTGTGTTTAAAACAACCATTACATCATCTGCATATGCTGACAGTTTAACAGCTGAATCACACCCAGGAAAACACACCCCAGAAAGTTCCTGTCTGAGTCTATTGAGCAGAGGCTCTATAGCGAGGGAATAAAGCATCCCGACAGAGAGCAACCCTGCTGTACCCCTCTCTGCATATTAAAAGGCACCCCCAAACCCCATTCACCTTTAATATGCTCGCAACATCACGGTACAGAACCTGGATCATAGCTATGAAACCTGGGCTGAAACCAAAAGCACGGAGTTTCTGCCACAAATATTGGTGTTCAACCTGGTCGAAAGCCTTCTCCTGGTCTATGGAAATAAAGCCAGTATTCAAACCCACTGAGCCAGAGACATCCAAGACGTGCCGAACTAGAGTAATGTTATCACTCATTAACCTGTCGGGTACACAGTAAGTCTGGTCGACATGAACCACTTCACTCATCACCTCCCGAAGCTGCGAGGCGAGGGCCTTGAAGAGGATTTTATAGTCTCCACACAGCAGAGACACCGGCCTCCAGTTCTTTAAATCCAGCAGATCTCCTTTCTTCGGCAGCAAAGTTCAACGGCATAAACCCTCTGCTCAGACTGTCCTGAAACACCTCCAGCAGATCTTCATCAACCACAGGCCAGAAGGTTTTATAAAAGTCCACAGGGAGCCCGTCGATGCCTGGAGCCTTACCGTTTCCGAGACTCATCAGAGCAACATACAACTCATTCAAAGACAGAGCATCGTCCAGCACAGTATTGTTATCTGCCCCCACCTGAGGAAGCCCGGCATAGAAAGAAGCAGCGGACTCTGCATCTTCCACAAACTCCTCTCTGAACAGTTCTTTGTAGAACGAGGTGGCGTACCTCCTGATCTCAGGGGTTCCTGTGACCGTAGCACCTTCTTCAGAGCGCAGAGAGTGGAGGATCTTTCTTTGACCGTTTTTGCGCTCTAAACCAAAGAAAAACTGTGATGGTGCATCCATCAGGGAAGCGTTCATGAAGCGTGAGTGGACAAGAGCTCCCTGCGCTGTGATGCACCACAGGTCGGCAGCCTTTTGACTTTAAGAGCTTCAACATGGCCTTAATTTCCTGTGGAATCCACCAACGTCTTTAATTCCTAATTCCACTACGTCAATCTCTAGGTCCGGAAGACCCCTTGTAATGTGCTTGGTGACATTGCGAGTATATTGCTGACAAAAAAGCTTCACCTGAATATCTCACCACTGCTGCAACGATGGGACACTGGACTTAGTGCTCCTGTGAATACCCCACACACACTCAAATGCCTATTTAAAAGAGTTATCATTTAAAAGTCCAGTATTGAAGTGTCAATATGCGCTGTGCAATTTTACATTCTCAATATACAGTGCACTGGACAAGACAATGGTCAGAAAAACCTACAGGAGTGATGAGACACTGTTTAAAAATGCCAAAATGGTGTTTAAAACAATAAAAGCGATGGCCAAAGACAGCAAGTTATCTCTGGAATGACTGGACTGGACTCTGGAGTGTGCTGCCTGTCGTCCATGTGAAAACCTCTCCACACATCCATCAGCTCATAACTCTCCATCAGACGCCGGAGCTTGGCTGATGAAGCAGGATGAGGCTCTAGGTGATTTTGATCCAGTTTGGGATTTTCAGTGCAGTTAAAATCACCGCCCAGCCACAAAAAATCCTCTGTACAGTCATGAAGCACATCACTCAAAACATCTAAAAACCTCATCCTGTCACCGGCCAGAATGGGAGCATAAACATTTACAAAGATCAGTTTAGTGTGTTCATACTGAACCTTTATCTTTAAAATATGCCCACTCATTATCTCCTCCACTTCAAAAGAGCAGAGACGAAACCCCTTTGAGAAGAGCACCCCCACCCCCCCACTGTTAGAGGCTTCATGGCTGAGGATAACTTCTCCAGGCCACTGCTTCTTCCACTCACTTTCATACACCACATCACTATTAGTCTCCTGCACAAACATCACATCCAGGTTCTTTAACTCCATGAGTCTAAAGAGAGAAGCTGTTTTTATGTTGCTCCTCGCACGTTAATATTTAAAGAACCAATTTTTAAATCAGCCATAAAGGAGGGAAAAACTGACAGAATAACAAATACAACCTCAATCACGTGGAGAAACATGGTGGACTCAGTCATCATCTATGAGCTGAGCTCTGACTCTCGTCACTATTTTCTTAAGATGGAAAACCTCCTGGTCAGTGAAGCCCTCGCTGTCTTTCCTCAGACATGCTACAGACCTCACAAACCCTCTGAGGTCAGAGAAGAACTGCTCCGTCTTCACGGCCCTGAGGCCCTTTTTCACCACTTCAACCTGGGATGCAGTCCACTCACATTCCTCCTCATCCTCCTCCTCATCAGAAAGATCCTCTGGCATTTCTTAGCTTTAGCTTCACTCTGTTCTTTATTAGCACTATTTTTCCTTTTGCTGGTCCTCTTAGTCGGAACCAGCTCGTCAGCCATACTGTCAACCAGAAGATCATCAGCCGCCTTGTTAATGATCTCACTGCAACTAGCTTTACTGGCCTTACCTTCCCTTTTCTCTAACTGTACACTATCAGCTTCCTCATTGGCCTGAGTGTTTTTGCCATCATCAGTTTTATCTGCACTATCATTCTGTACAACAGAACTCTGCAGACGCACCCAGTGAGTCTGATTCAGCTGCAGGAGACACAACAACAGAGTCCACGCCACCCTGAAGCGGCACCGCGGCCCAATCCGCTGTACCATTCAGCCCTGCAGGTTTGGAGGCTGGCTCGGGCCCGCGTGGAACCGAACCGGTTCGTTTCTCTCCGGCGGGACAGACTAAATGACCCTCATCCCCGCACCCGAAACACTTCATGGTGTCAGATGTCGCAAAGACAACATAATTAAAGCCTTCAACTTTGAAACTGAACGTCAGGTTTAAATCAGTGGCGTTATCCTTCAGGATCATGTGACACATGACGTGTTTCATCTTTGGTGACTTACAGCCCAGCAGAACCATTTTAACAGGAGAAATCAGCTGGCCGTAACGTGACAGCTCTTTAACTCGATCCTCAGATTTAATGAACGGAGGTGTGTTAGAAATAGTGATCCTGATTATCCAAAAGAATCACTACAGCGCTGTTCATACGGGGGGCAGACATCACACTGTGAAAGCCTACAACCTCCCTGACAGCATAGCTGGCCTCCTCCACTGAACAGCAGACATGCAGGGAAACCCTCACCGCATGTCGGCGAGTTAGCTTCTCCAGCACCGCATGGCTGCCAACCACGGGCATGATGCCCAGCTGACAAACCCTCTACCCGAACACACCAACAACAAACAACAACTACCAACTACACAACATAAAACAATACCAAACAAAGATAGAAACTCACACGCTCTGTAGAATCACTCTGCACTCACACTCATGCATCCACTCAGAGAGGGAGAGAGAGAGAGAGGGAGAGAGGTCAGAGAGAGAGAGAGAGAGAGGGAGAGAAGTCAGAGAGAGGGAGAGAGGTCAGAGAGAGAGACAGACACGTCAGAGAGAGAGACAGGTGTTGTATTGGTCATTTTGATACAGAGAGAGAATGAATCTGGTCTCAGATCAGGAAGATGAGATGATAACTGAACAATAAAAAGTTTGTACAACTTAAAAGTCTTCATGTGAGAATAATTGATCATTCAGAGATACTGATCATTCATTCAGGCCACAGAGGAAAGATATTTCACCTTCTGTGATTGGTAGAAGGGGTCCAGCTCCTCCAATGGCTTGTTAAGAAGCTCAGGGGGCGGGTCTCCATAGATGAATGGGAGGGGCTTCCCAGCCTCCAAGTCACTTGCTGGTTTGGGAAGATCTTCCTCTGCAATCTGTCAGTCAGAGACAAAGCCAATCAGAGACCTGTTCTGAATGTATTGATTAGTGACAGCTGATCAATACGTTTCTACCTCTATGTTCCTCTCCTTCTTCTTCTGTCGCTCCTTCTCCTCCACTTCATGACGGCGTTGGATTTCCTCCAGTGAGGCCGGGGTGAAACGCCTGAAGACCTCTGAACCAACAGGGGGCAGCAGAGGGGCCATCCTGGCATCATGCAGGGACTCTCGAACCCCCCTGTCAGCGAGTAGCCGCCTCCTATAGGGGTGCCGGGCAAATCCACAAACAACAAACACATGAAGAAGAACCTAGCACACATTCACACAGACCTAAACCACAGACTTAAGAAACTGAAACACGGACTGTACGAAGTGAAACACAGACTGTACGAACTGAATAACAGACTGTAGAAACTGAACCATAGACTGTGTGAACTGAACCACTGACTGTGTTAACTAAACCACAGACTGTAGAAACTGAACCACAGACTGTGTGAACTGAACCACAGACTGTGTGAACTGAACCACAGACTGTAGAAACTGAACCACAGACTGTGTGAACTGAACCACTGACTGTGTTAACTAAACCACAGACTGTAGAAACTGAACCACAGACTGTAGAAACTGAACCACAGACTGTGTGAACTGAACCACAGACTGTAGAAACTGAACCATAGACTGTGTGAACTGAACCACTGACTGTGTTAACTAAACCACAGACTGTAGAAACTGAACCACAGACTGTAGAAACTGAACCACAGACTGTACGAAGTGAAACACAGACTGTACGAACTGAATAAAAGACTGTAGAAACTGAACCACAGACTGTGTTAACTAAACCACAGAATGTAGAAACTGAACCACAGACTGTAGAAATGGAATCACAGACTGTGTGAACTGAACCACAGACCGTACGAACTGAGTCTGTGGTCTGAACCACAGACTGTGTTAACTAAACCACAGACTGTAGAAAGTGAACCACAGACTGTGTGAACTGAACCACAGACTGTGTTAACTAAACCACAGACTGTAGAAACTGAACCACAGACTGTGTGAACTGAACCACAGACTGTAGAAACTGAACCACTGACTGTGTGCACTGAACCACAGACTGTAGAAACTGAACCACAGACTGTAGAAACAGAACCACAGACTGTAGAAACTGAACCACAGACTGTAGCAACTGAAACACAGACTGTAGAAACTGAACCACAGACTGTGTGAACTGAACCACAGACTGTAGAAACTGAACCACAGACTGTGTGAACTGAACCACAGACTGTAGAAACTGAACCACAGACTGTGTGAACTGAACCACAGACTGTGTGAACTGAACCACAGACTGTAGAAACTGAACCACAGACTGTGTGAACTGAACCACAGACTGTAGAAACTGAACCATTGACTGTGTGAACTGAACCACAGACTGTAGAAACTGAACCACAGACTGTAGAAACTGAAACACAGACTGTGTGAACTGAACCACAGACTGTAGAAACTGAACCACAGACTGTGTGAACTGAACCACTGACTGTGTTAACTAAACCACAGACTGTAGAAACTGAACCACAGACTGTAGAAACTGAACCACAGACTGTGTGAACTGAACCACAGACTGTAGAAACTGAACCATAGACTGTGTGAACTGAACCACTGACTGTGTTAACTAAACCACAGACTGTAGAAACTGAACCACAGACTGTAGAAACTGAACCACAGACTGTACGAAGTGAAACACAGACTGTACGAACTGAATAAAAGACTGTAGAAACTGAACCACAGACTGTGTTAACTAAACCACAGAATGTAGAAACTGAACCACAGACTGTAGAAATGGAATCACAGACTGTGTGAACTGAACCACAGACCGTACGAACTGAGTCTGTGGTCTGAACCACAGACTGTGTTAACTAAACCACAGACTGTAGAAAGTGAACCACAGACTGTGTGAACTGAACCACAGACTGTGTTAACTAAACCACAGACTGTAGAAACTGAACCACAGACTGTGTGAACTGAACCACAGACTGTAGAAACTGAACCACTGACTGTGTGCACTGAACCACAGACTGTAGAAACTGAACCACAGACTGTAGAAACAGAACCACAGACTGTAGAAACTGAACCACAGACTGTAGCAACTGAAACACAGACTGTAGAAACTGAACCACAGACTGTGTGAACTGAACCACAGACTGTAGAAACTGAACCACAGACTGTGTGAACTGAACCACAGACTGTAGAAACTGAACCACAGACTGTGTGAACTGAACCACAGACTGTGTGAACTGAACCACAGACTGTAGAAACTGAACCACAGACTGTGTGAACTGAACCACAGACTGTAGAAACTGAACCATTGACTGTGTGAACTGAACCACAGACTGTAGAAACTGAACCACAGACTGTAGAAACTGAAACACAGACTGTGTGAACTGAACCACAGACTGTAGAAACTGAACCACAGACTGTAGAAACTGAACCACAGGTTGTAGAAACTGAACCACAGACTGTGTGAACTGAACCACAGACTGTAGAAACTGAACCACAGGTTGTAGAAACTGAACCACAGACTGTAGAAACTGAACCACAGACTGTAGAAACTGAACCACAGACTGTAGAAACTGAACCACAGGTTGTAGAAACTGAACCACAGACTGTAGAAACTGAACCACAGGTTGTAGAAACTGAACCACAGACTGTAGAAACTGAACCACAGACTGTAGAAACTGATCCACTGAAGGCTGAAAACCTTCTGCTGCTGTTATAGACTTTAGCCTCTCACCTCCACTGTTTTTGGTTCAAACAGAGAAACTCTGTTCTGGATCTCAGTCAGTCACTCAACGTGATGTCAGTACAGAAATTAATTTATTACATCATCATTATTTTATTTTATTTACTCGAAGATGATAAAGTGATCTGTAGTTATGATTAGTTATTGATCACAGCTGAGTCTTTCAACAGACTGCAGCTCTCAGTATTGAACATGTTATACGAATTAATAATTAAAGGGCAATTCTGTGTAGAATCAGACTTACAGCTGTGGAGGAAGGCATCTCAGCTGATTGGCTCTCTTCAGAAGAAATCTTCTCTCCTTGTTTCTCCTCCAAAGCTCAAGCAATGACATTTTTCTGCTCGTCATGGCTGAAGCTGTCAGTCCTCTGTCTGTCTACCTGTTCCCACCTGTCCTTGTTACCTGTCTGTCTGTCTCTTGAGCCTGTCTCTTCAGTCTGTCTCTTCAGCCTGTCTCTTCAGTCTGTCTGATCTCCCTCATGGTTTCTCTCTGTATTCCATTTACAGACGTCATTATTTCTCTGCCAACATTCATGTGCTCATCATAGTAGTAAATAAGAACTTTTGTCTGATTTCTTTCCATCTCTGAATGAAAAACTCTTTATTTCACTGCCAACAGTGAACAGACACAGAGAGCTTGGACAAAACAAGAAATCAAACAAAGAATTTCATTATTTAATAAATGAGAACTTTTGTCTGAGTTCTGTCTTTGTCCTGCTGAATGTCCACGTCTGTTACAGACCATATCCTGTCATTTCATCAGGGTTCAAATGCCGTTCACAACACTGGGTTCAGTTACAGAGCAGAACAGTGAAGACTTTTTTCCCCACCTCATCCTGTAATGTTAATCCTGTCTGGATGGTGCTTTGGGGTCTAAGTGGAGCTTCGAGAGTCTCATTTGTGACAGATGTGATCAGAGTCAGTGGTCTTGTTGTGTGGGAGATGAGACAAGAGGGGGGTCAACATGACACATCTGTTTAAATCAACTAACTACCATAAACACAAATGTTGATGTCAAGGCAAGTCAGGCTTTATTGGCATTCTTACACATACAAGTATACATCTGAACAAAAAGTTCAAGAACAAATTACAACAGATCTCATAGTACTACAGCAGATGGAGCAACACAGCCCTCAAACCATTCACCTGACACACACACTACAATACACAGTAAACAGTAAAAATGCACAGCCAGCAGTGAATAGTGCAAATCAAATAAAGTGACAGATAAAGAGCAATAGACAGTGTGTAGTGCAATTTGACCAGAGTGGAACCTATTACGCTGTCAGTGTATAGTTATTTCTGTGTTCTTGAGTCCTGCGTCAGTAAGAGGCAGACGATTATGGGGGTGAGATTTTTGCTGGCACCAGCTGGTTATTCAGGACTCTGACAGCATGGGGGAAGAAGCTATTGTGGAACCTTGCAGTGTGGGTCCTGATGCTGCAGAACCTTCTGCCTGATGGTAGAGGAACAAACACACTGTGTTCGAGTGCAGTTCCCAAAGCACACAGTGATGCACCTGGTCAGGATGCTCTCACCAGTTCCTCTGTGGAAGGTGGTGAGGATAGGTCTTTAGTCTCCGCAGGCGTTGTTGTGCTTTCTTTAGTACATCACACACACACCAGGTAAGGTCATCAGACATGTGCACAACAAGGACTTGGTGCTTCTGACTCTCTTCACAGAGCCACTGATGAGGAAGTCCAGAATACAGTTGCAAACCATGCATAGAAGTTGTTTCGCCAGTCAGGAAGATGGGTGGCACTCCTGTTGGCCTGTGTTGTAACTTTGTAGTCTCCAAGGGCCTGGATGCCCTGCTACATGCATCTGGGGTCCTTGGCATCACAGAAGCAGTTGTGCATCTTCAGTGTATACAGGCATTTCTCTTTCCTGATGGCCTTGGAAAGCTGAGCCCTTGTTGATCTGATGAGCCCTCCATATCCCAACCTGAATGCAGCATCTCTTGCCTTCAGCAAGGCATCATTCTTAGCTGTCTCTGGTTAACATTACCTGCCAGGCAGCTGAGTTAGGCAACGCTGGGATGGGACTTTGTCTACATGATAGCCCTAGTCCATGTAGATACTCGGTTAACAGTGTCGACATTGGTGTTCCGTAGGTGCTATTTGAGCCCAACACCATAAGGGCTTACTTAAGAAGGAATTCACAGAGATCCCAGTACATTTTTTTTATTTAGCTGACGCTTTTATCCAAAGCGACTTACAATTTCTATATACAGTATGTCAGAGGTTGCACGCCCCTTTAGCATGTAACATGCATTGTGGTCACTGCAACATACAGTAACAGAAAAAATTAACACCTTTTATCGGAGCTGTAGAGGCCGCTGCATGGTTGATCATGTTTATATCAACCAGCAACAGTGAACACAACTGTTGTCTGTCTGAAGAGCTGCCTTTGAATGAGACCTTGAGGCCAGATGTGTTGGCAGAGCTGCTCAGAAGCCAGCTGGCTAGAGGTCAGGATGCAGGTCAGCAAAGGAAGCTGATGGCTTCAGGATCCATGGGGACCATACTTTCTTCTGGGGATTCTAACACAAGGGTACCCCCTGAAAATGGAATGGTAAGGACCAATAAAAGATGGCTGCTGGATATCCGGGTGGATCCTCAGTTGGTCCATTGAAGACTCATGTGGTTCAGGAGATACAGGATCAGGGGATCCAGGTTGGGAGATGGCTCAGGGGAGACAGGCAGCTTGTTAGCTGGCAAGATGCAGGCTTAAGTCTAACTGACTGAGCTGCAGGCTAGCAGGCTGATCCTGGGACATGCAAAGGGGGTCCATGGAAGAACTGAATGAATGGTTGAACGCGATGTGTTGTAAATCACCACTTCATTCATGGTGTCCATGTTCTTGGACAAAACCACGTAGCAAAGGGACAAAGCAAAACAGACTTTATAAACAGCATCACGTACAGTTTACACAGTATATATATATATATCAAGGTCCAGTACGCCTGTTGCTGGACTGGATCTTGTCATACTGTATATATTGTTTTGGGATTCATTGGCAATTTACCTATTTTCTCATTTAGGTATGAGGACGTGCTGCATTATTAACAAGGCTTTCCAGGGATTTTTTTTCATCTAAGGAATACTGCTAAAATCTGTTCATTTCTGAGCTTTAGATGATTTGTTTTGCATGTGTGTTTGACAAAATATTAATTTATCATTGAATTAAATTTATTATTTACATTTTTTGTAAAGCACCTTATAATCTCTGTCACATTTAAACTGATCCACAGTCAATCTGACAACCAATCAGATGCAGAGCTTCTCAAAGAAATGAACACACACACACTTGTCTGTAGTGTCTTTGCCAGGGTTGACCCCAGCCCTGCGTTGCCATAGCAGCAGCTGTTTAGAGTCATCAGTTTGACCCTCTGGTGTAAAGTTACAGTGACCCAGCTCATTCCAACAAACACACTGCAACACACACTGCAACAAACACACAAAGACAAACATCAACTCACACACACACACACACACACACACACACACACACACGCTGCAACACACACTGCCACACATTGCAACAAACACACAAAGACAAACAGCAACTCACACGCACACACACACTGCAACACAAACACACACACACACACACACACTGCAACACAAACATAGCAACTCAACGACACAAAAACACACTGCAGCACACACACACTTCATTCCTCTCTGTGTTCCTACATGCTTTGCTTTCAGCCCCTCTTCACCTCCCTCTGATCAACCGCTGACCTCCTCTCCTTGTCAGCTCTCCTTTTTATCCCTCCTTGCCACATTCATTGTCACCTCTCCTTTTTACCTCTCCTTGTCACCTCTCCTTTTTACCTCTCCTTCTCGCCTCTCCTTGTCACATCTCCTTTTTAACCCTCCTTGTCACCTCTCCTTTTATCCCTCCTTTTCACCTCTCCTATTTACACCTCCTTGTTACCTCTCCTTTTCACCTCTTGTTTTTACCCCTCCTTGTCACCTCTCCTTTTTACTCCTCCTTGTCACCCTTCCTTTTCACCTCTCCTTGTCACCTGTCCTGTTTACCCCTCCTTGTCACCTCTCCTTTTTACCAATCCTTGTCACCTCTCCTTTTTACTCCTCCTTGTCACCTCTACTTTTTACCTCTCCTTGTCACCTCTCCATTTACCAATCATTGTCACCTCTCCTTTTTACCTCTCCTTGTCACCTCTCCTTTTTACCAATCCTTGTCACCTCTCCATTTACCAATCCTTGTCACCTCTCCATTTACCAATCCTTGTCACCTCTCCTTTTTACTCCTCCTTGTCACCTCTACTTTTTACCTCTCCTTGTCACCTCTCCATTTACCAATCATTGTCACCTCTCCTTTTTACCTCTCCTTGTCACCTCTCCTTTTTACCAATCCTTGTCACCTCTCCATTTACCAATCCTTGTCACCTCTCCTTTTTACTCCTCCTTGTCACCTCTACTTTTTACCTCTCCTTGTCACCTCTCCATTTACCAATCATTGTCACCTCTCCTTTTTACTCCTCCTTGTCACCCTTCCTTTTCACCTCTCCTTGTCACCTGTCCTGTTTACCCCTCCTTGTCACCTCTCCTTTTTACCAATCCTTGTCACCTCTCCTTTTTACTCCTCCTTGTCACCTCTACTTTTTACCTCTCCTTGTCACCTCTCCATTTACCAATCATTGTCACCTCTCCTTTTTACCTCTCCTTGTCACCTCTCCTTTTTACCAATCCTTGTCACCTCTCCATTTACCAATCATTGTCACCTCTCCTTTTTACCTCTCCTTGTCACCTCTCCTTTTTACCAATCCTTGTCACCTCTCCATTTACCAATCATTGTCACCTCTCCTTTTTACCTCTCCTTGTCACCTCTCCTTTTTACCAATCCTTGTCACCTCTCCATTTACCAATCATTGTCACCTCTCCTTTTTACTCCTCCTTGTCACCTCTCCTTTTTACCAATCCTTGTCACCTCTCCATTTACCAATAATTGTCACCTCTCCTTTTTACCTCTCCTTGTCACCTCTCCTTTTTACCAATCCTTGTCACCTCTCCATTTACCAATCATTGTCACCTCTCCTTATTACCCCTCCTTGTCAACTCTCCTTTTTACCCCTCCTTGTTACCTTTCCTTTTTACCCCTCCTTGTTACCTTTCCTTTTTACCAACCCTTGTCACCTCGTCTTTTTACTCCTCCTTGTCACCTTTCTTCGTCATCCGTCCTTTTTACTTCTCCTTGTCACCTCTCCTTTTTACCTCTCCTTGTCACCTCTCCTTGTTACATCTTCTTGTGATCTCTCCTTTTTACCCCTCCTTGTCACCTCTCCATGTCAGCTCTCCTTTTTACCCCTCCTTTTCACCTCTTCTTTTTACCCCTCCTTGTTACCTTTCCTTTTTACCAATCCTTGTCACCACATCTTTTTACTCCTCCTTGTCACCTTTCTTCGT